CTTTGGGCATTGCACTCGCGAGTTACAATGCCACTGACCTTGGCCAAGCAGCTGCATACGTGGAGGGAGCGAGCCGCCATTTCGGTGCCCGGTTCGAATTTTGAATGCATTTTTTTGTTCTTTTCTTGGGAAATAATCTAGGACCAAATACCGTGCGCTCATAGACGCGCAGATTGGTATTATAGAGGTATATTATAATACCTTTAGGAGTGCCTAGGTAAGTACGTTATACAAACTATATTTTTTTTTATCAAACTTTTAGCCCTTGTCTCCGGGGCATCGATTTTAATCAAAAAAATCGATGCCCCGGATCGATTTATTTTAATAAAAATCGATCCGTTAACTGTTATGTTTTGTTGTTATATTTTTAGGAGAGTATCTACCTATAGATGTTTTGTATAAATGCCTTTGTGGTGTATATTACACGTTAAGGGACTTTTAAATGGACAATACTTTTCGGCAATTAGTGACTACAACACAGTGGCCCGGGAACATTGCAAGAAATGTCGCCTAGATTATGTAATATTGCAATTATACCCCGGCCATATAGACAAACATTTCTGGATTGGCTGGGAAATAAGTAACCGATAGTGCACTTTTAAGTACCTTTCATTAGAAAATTGCATCGAATAAGGTCCGAAACTGTACCTATTAAAAAAAAATCCTTCACCCGTAATTAGCTAGTTTTATAAAAGACATCTTAGTAGGTCAGCGTGTAGTACAAATTTACATTTTTATTATAATAATTTGATAAATTGATTCACATGCTAAAAAGTAAAATTAACTCATGCTTCCGGTTTGAAATATACGATTACCTGTTTAAAAATATAAATGTCCACATACATTTCGATTTTTGTCTGTAAAAAAATATAAGTAGGAACGAAATCGGCACCTGCGGAACGAAAAAAAATGTTATTCCCGTGCATCCGCCGACACTTAGAGCGCAGCCGTCTTCTAATTGAGTTCTGGTATTTTTATCATTCTTTTACTAATATTATAAGCTAGCTGTTATTCCGCGTCTTCACCCGTGTAATTGTATGCTTGTCACCGGCGTATAATATAGCTTTCCGTAGTTGAAAAAATTTTGATCAACAGACTAGTATTTCTGAAGATTACCCCCCCAAAACAAATAACGTTAGAAATTTTACCTCTTTAATATTAGAATAGATTCTTAAGGTAGTTTCGGTATACCTAAAACGGCAACTAAATCTGGATGAATAAACATTGTGATTTTAAAAGTAACTAATTTGGACCGCGACCCGCAATCGTTGTCGTTAAGCAACTTTCGCGAGGGTCGGTCACGGGATGGGTGATCAAAAAATTATTATTTCGAGCTACTCCGTGCTTCGGATGGCCCGGTTGCATTTGCAGTCGTTAATATCCTCCAATCCGCAATGGGCCAGCGTGAAGTGTCATGACCATCCATAAGGAAGGCCTGAGCCCCTGCAGTGGGGACGTAAAAGGGCTGATGATGATAATGATGAATAATAAATCAGTGTTGCTATTCCGTAATATATACACGACCAAAATCTCTCTCCCATAATCACCAGCCTATTACTGTCCCCACTCCTGGGGTCCTGTGGATGGAATTGGATCAAACCGAATAAAGAAATTGTCCAAGACCAACCACGCTGGGCCAGTGCAAATTGGTGAGCGTTAACCAACGGGTAACGTGCCTTCCGAACAGTGGCAGACCGTCCCGGGCCTCTAAATTGGGGTTGTACTGCCTTATCTCTCATATGTCCAGTTTCGTAGTTTTACTAGGCGTCTTAGCGCAGGGGGTGGGGGTGCCAATGCAATATCATTTTCTGCCCGGTTGGAATAAGTTGTAGGTCCGGGCCTGCCCCGGGCCCCATCAACCACTACTTGCGAAGCACGGGGGAGCTCGAGATAATAAACCACCTATCCTATTGCGATAGTTGCTTACCAACCGTATTGACTCGTCTGATCTGATCTACTCAAGAATAAACTTTGTGTAAAAAATACATTTTGATATTTTTTAATGTATTAAACACAAATTTGCCTTTTCACAAATTAATCTGATTAAGTCTTATTTTGAAATTTATAAATGAAATATTTTTTTCTGGGAATATCTAACTCGTTATATTTGAACTTTGAAATATAAAAAAGTATTCCTATATACTTTTCGTGAGAAATGATAAGCATACGATGCCTCGTACACCAGCTGATTCATCTATAAATACGCCTCGTATGGGTTAATAAACCGCATTTGTTGCGAAGACCGCACTACGCCGATCAAGTTGCTAGACAAATGTGAAACTCGTTTTTAACATCTTAAATCATCATTATTCTATGAATCTTTATATAATTTTTATAAACTCCGTGACAGAGCGGCTATCACACCGCTTTAAGCTTGTCATCATCTCAGAGGTCCCAGGTTCGATTTCAACAGGATTTATATAGAGAATCGACTTATCTATATCGTTTCGGGTCTGGGTGTTGCGTGATACCTTCGCTGTATCAGATTTCCACGAGCTTAGTGCCAAAAGCACTTCATTTGAGATCTGAGCATTGTATGAGATGTAGTGTTATTTATTTCTTTCAAATTCATTATTTATAATTTTACCACCAACCAACTTTACAAACCTCCTCTATCCTTCTATACAAACAGTATTTGGATTGTAAATTACAAAAAAAAATATCTATCTGATGTTCATATAACTAGCCAATAACGTCAACCTTAAGAAAAAAAGAGCTTGTAATAAAAACTGTTTCATATGAAAGGTGAAATATTAAAAATAATAAGTTTAGTCGAATGTCTCCAAAAGTCGATAACGTACACGTTTATAATTATAATTTAAATATACTTGAAACAGTGTCTAATAAAAGCAGAATATGAAAAATTTGTAGCTAAATAATACCATTGTTAGATACTTATGTAAGTACAAAGAGCAATATCTCTTAATAAGAAAAACGCGGCGAGCTAAGTAAACGGCCTTCATCATCTTAAAACAAATATGTTTTAAGCTAACAAAAGAAAATTAAGAGCAATTTCAGAAATGTGCTTTTCTCAGCTCTCATCTTTTTCGCACAATGAACAAAGATAATGTCATATTATTATCATTATTGCGATACACAAATGGCTTTTTTATTATGAAAGAACTTCAACGAACATTTCTTTAGTTTTGTAGATCACCATTTTGTGACTACCTTCATTTTGTTTACACAATATTCGCTAATAAAATCTGCGAAGTAACACTCCTAAAAAACTAGTTTAGATTGAGTAACTCTTCCTCATGCGAAGGCAGTGGCAGCAATGCTACTGCACAAACTAGACTTTGGGTTTAGTCTTGTAATACTAAAATAACTAAGACAATAGAAGTAAACTTATTATGTTATATTATCATATGAAACTGTAATAATGTTAAAACCAAATTCAGGTTAAATATTTTTAGTTTAGAGATTGGTACAAGCAGCAGTACGTCAAGTTACAATAATATGACAAATGAGACGACCCACGCTCCATACATAGTTTGCCACTCAGTTAAAATTCACAAGGTGTCACAATAAAATTTGAATTTCTCTATCAATATTTTAAATAGTTAAACTTTATCACAATATAATAATTATTTTCTCAGTATATGTTTGCTTTTTGTCTATCCAGTATCCTCCAAAATATGTAATGTTTATTTAACACCACTTTCTAAATGTTATACGATAATTTTAAGACTATTTAAATACAGTTACAGTGTTTGTAATTTCCGTAACATTAATCTTCTATTTTCACTAAAAGTCTGGTGTACGATATCTAGATCTTTTAAGAGCTTTTGAAGGAATTAAAAGATGAAGACGAATAAGGTAACTCAGACTAATAACCAATTATAAGATATTTTCTATATTTCATTGAATTAATATATTTTTCACTGTTATATTCACTTTATCTTGTGAAATAACACTATATTAACATTTGTTATGTCTGTCGCCTCTTTAACCTTAAGTTTTTACTAAAACTGGTTGACTGGTAGATAATGCCTCTTTGGCATTAAGTCCGCTATTTGTCTATTTCTTTAGGAAAATAAGATTAAATAAATAAATAAATATACTCTCTGCATACAATAAAATAGATACGTTAAGGTAATTAAAACACCAAATTCTTTACATACTAATTAAGGGTAGTGAATAAAAAAAATTAATTTATTTTGCCATTATGTCAATGACAATTCTTCACCATTGTTGGAACTTGATTATGAATCTTTATTAACCCTATTCTTATACCGAATAAATAGGAAGTTTTTATTTTGTACCTTAAAAGTGTAAATGACTATGTACTTCTTTAAGGTTTTATCGAGTCACTCGCGCGTTTTTTATTTTTTAAACATAAAGCTTTTCTGAGTCCCATTGTTTCTGGGAATTGAAATGTGTTCTTTATTAATTCTATTCTGAAACCTAAAAGAAAGGCTCTTCCTATATTTTGCGTTAAAAATGTAATGTATATGTTTTGTCAAGTTAATCTTATAAAATCTCTTGCATGTCTTACTCTAGGGCTATTTTGGGCAGTCTCCTTTCCATAGTCGATTTTGAGCTTTACCACGAGTATATTAAGGTTTAAAGGTTACTTGGAATTTGAGAAATGTATGTGATGTTATGTCTGTAAGTGAAACAGCGACACTATCAGAAAAAGAAGGAAGATTGTGGTGGTAACCTATCACTCTCTTTATTCGTGGATTCACATTTAAACACAGTATGTCTTCGAATAATACAATCAAACCAATTTTAAAATCAAAAATGACTTACGTACTCTATTATAAAACATCATCGGTTGCAGCCCGTTATCTATACTATCTAGAGGAAAGTTTTGATTGGTTGTTTGCATTGAATAGACTCCGGAACAAGTGGATCGATTCGAATAATTATTTTACCATTAGATCCTTACATTATTCCTGATAGATTAATTTCAAAAACTACCTATTGGTTTTCATTAAAATAGTTGCGTTTGAAAGGAATCAAATGAAACGCAACATCTGATTAGCATAATATAATTATGGTGCAGGTCGCCGTTTGAGCCAATGCGGATTGAAGCCTGTATCTTTGAACAGCTGGTCGATATCATCTTTGTCCAATCTGAGTGAACCCTGAAATAGAATGAAGGAACTATTAATTACTTGTTCGATCTGTATCGGTATCTCTAAGCAATTTTCTATTCCATGTCGACTTATAAGAGAAAGAAAACAAGAAACATCAACAGCTTGACTATACACAAGTTCATTGGCTGTTAATAACAAATGTATAGCTGTCTGTCTCAGTGATCGAGAACCTAAAGCGACTAAATTAAGTTTAGGCCGTAAAAACGCATATTTCGATTTTCTCAAGAAAATCAAACTAATAGGGTACTTCCCATTGTGAGGCATCATATGAAAAGGTTGGATATGCATATGTATTTTAAAACTAATTTTATTTTTACGACGAAGAAATTCTTATTTACAATTAAATAAATTGGAAGTCCCTAACAACTTATCTACTATGCTTAGGACTATTCCTGCCACGGCTCTTCTTACAATGTCGCTAGATCTCCTAGTCATTGACAAAACGACTAGGAGTGAGATTCACCTTAGGCGCTTTCTATTATATATAAATTAAAATTGATTAAAATATGAGAAAAAAAAAATATACACACCATTGGGTTCCTCGTGAACGCTGTGATCGGTAGATATAGCAAAGCACTTGCACCAGGTCTGAAATAAATTAATATAAGATTATTTTTCATCAATAACATTTAAATACAACACAAAAATTTATTACAAACAGATTTATTCATGGGAAATAATTTAAAAAGGATCTCGTTGTAATTATATATATTTAATTAATAAAGATTAAGATTTTATAAAACTTTTCCTAGATTAAGATGTAATAGGTAAAGTCAATTCCGTCCGACGACCACTAAAGTTTTATTAAGAGAGGGAGAGAGTAAAGCAACTGTCGATGCAATTTCTGATCTTGGAAATTTAAATGTTATTAATTTTACTCAGGAAGATACACAATTTGATAAGCTCTATTGTATAAGATTGATGGTTTGGCAATCAAATTAACTTAGTGTACATAGTACCTTTTGGGACGATCTCTAGTTGGATGCCACTTATGTCTAGCGACGTACTGGAAGCAATACAAGACAATTATAAGTAATAAAAATGTTAAGCTACATCGTAATATTGAATCAGATGCCTTGTGGCCTTGTGGGCAAGAAAAAGGGAAGTTTAAACTTTAAAATATTCTAAAATGCAAGGATCTAAGGAGAACGAGGAAGTTTTGAGAAATCAAAAATATATATAACGGGTAGTCAGAAGGGGCTATTACGAAGCCCAAATAGATGGTCCATATCGGAGGACTATCTTTAAAATAACACTGCAGGCGTGTATACCAACGTGGATTTGTTCCATTTTATCACTTTTCATACGAAAATATAACGAGATGAGCGTGATGTCGTCGGATGTCTTTACTCCTCGGCGATCGGAAACAGAATGTGTGCCAAAATGGCGGCAACTTGCTTTTTATTAACGAACTGTCAAAGTCAGTGTCACCATTCTAATAAAATTAAAAATATCGATGATCACGCTCTCTCAATCAAGTAATTAAGTAATCGAGTAACTAGCAATTAAAAATAAAAGAAACTAAATCCATCGATCTTCGTAAAGATGATGCGACATATACAATAAAAGAGAGCGAATAAAGAAATACGAAACGTTGATATTTGTAAAACGCAGTTAAGCAAATTGGTGAATATTGTGCGTATAAGTATAAGCGGAAATTAGATATTAAAAATAGTAAAATAAGTAAAGAATATTTATTGTACACAAATGTTGGCAAATCTAAATTAATTAAACAAAACAGACTATATAGCTTAAGTGAAAGTTTAATAATCGTGAAAAATAGTAAAATTATTCAAAAAACATCAATAGAAGTTTTTTAGATAAAGTTTGAAATCTTTTTCTTTGTAACATTACTCAAGATAACGTGGAGAACGGGTAAATCCGTAGAGTGACACCATTTCGGGTGTCACACAAGCTAGCTACGCCACTACACTCGGTGTCGAATGCGAAGTAGGTAATAGTAAAACTGACCTGTTCTGAAATGTTGGGACGTCTTCGATACTCCAATATTCCGTCGTATAATGTAGTTAAACCTTTACCAGTACCTTGTTTCGTTTCTTGTTCTGTATTTAAAAGCTTTTTCCTAAAATGAATTCTTATAAAAACAGTAAAATATAGTTCATGTATCTAATAATGGTCTGCATTAATTGCATCCACATATTAGATTCTAAAATTCTATTCCAGGCGAATAATTGAAGTTACATTATCTACCCTCTTTCGAGTCCTAAGAATTATAAACTAAGAATTAAGTTTATTGCGAATCACATTAGAAACATTGAGATATAATTAAATTTTAGGTATAAATGTGACGCCATATTGTATTATAATGTTTTTGGAACATGTTATTTATCTAAAAACAAACTTTATGACAATTACAATAATACAAAATCTAGCTTACGGTTTCTCATCAGCTGGCACGCTTGATCTCCAATTGGCATCGTCAACGAAACCGAGCCAAACCTTATTGTTAGCTTTGTTCCTGTATTCCAGTTCGCGGTCCAGCTTGTGAATCAGAGCTCCCTTAGTTCGAGTCTGTATTACACCTGTCATAATATCAGCACTACAAACTACAGCCTACACGTCAGTATGTTTATTTATTGATGAAATGCAGCAAAAAAAAATAGTTAAGTAAATTTTAAAAGCTGGTGTTTCATTCAGATTTTTTGTAATGTAACTGTTTTTATTACAAAATAGGTAATACCTCTTCCAAGGCGTCGCAAAATCTGCTATGATTCTTTAGTTAGATCAAAGGTTTTTAATTTAATTTAAGCGGGGTTTTGGAGAAAGAAAAAACTAGAATATTTCAAATGCACAAGACAGTGTTTATCTAAAGGACGTCCATCGTCTGACATGTTAAACATAAACAAAAAATCTAATAAAAACAACAAGCAAAATTACCTTGAAACGTATTATCCGTCCTCCATTCCGTATTTCTATCTACGGTTCTTGTGGTCAGGAATTGTATTTTAGTCTTTTGTGTCGTAGCATGACTTTTGTGCGAGTCGGGAAAACTTGATAGCAAGCTGGTATTCTCGTCTTCGTCATCGCTCCAATAGTCTTCAGTAGACTCAGCTTCGTAATGTTCTGTTGGTGCCGGATGGCGAACCTGATTAGAAGTTGTGATTTTTTAGATCAATATAATCACGTCTTCTATTATGATTAAAGATTGTGATTCAGAAGCTTATATGTTATCAAGACAGCAAGTTTGTACACTTCGTCAATCAAAATGCAATCTGATGTAACTCTTGAGAAAATATATTTAGTTACTACCCTTTACCTCTTACCTGGATACATATCTAACCAAATGACTGAAAATTAGAAGAACTAACTAAAATATAACACGAATTATTTAGTACGGTTTAGTACGTAGTTAGGTAATTCTATAAATTATGGATTTCTTCGCTTTTTTGTGCTCGAAAATATAAAAATGGAGGGGTGGACAGACAGACAGTCAACTAAACCTAATATCTCTGATCTTATCCTATAATGGTTCTTTTTTTATTTGAGCTAGGTATTATGGAATATCAAAATGGTTTATTCTTTTTTTCTTACCGTAGCACAGAGTAGCGGGTACGCAGACCGCGCTCTTCTCTCGAAATGTGGTGGGCAGTGAGCCAATGGACCGGGCGAAATCGTCCGCTGCCCGAGCATGTTTGTATGAGAGAAGTCGCAAACCAGCAGCAGTCGAGGGTAGTAAGCGCCGTGTCTGACTGCTCCACAACCCACCGCGCGCAACGACCATACTGCTAGCTGACTGAAGTGACCCCATACTGCACCCCTAATATTTAAAAAAGTGAAACAAAGAACAAAGCCTATACCTTTATTAGAAATCAGACATTGAATAAAATTAATAGAATCAAGCGTTATTTTGCAGAAGTCCATTGCAATAACTGAACGTGGAAGTTTCTAAATATCACAGTTTTACGGTGATATTGAAATGAAAAGACAAGTTGCAACGAAATAGCAATTTATCTAAAATAATGATGTACACATATGTAGTCATCCAGATGATCTAAAATTTAAAGATAAACATGTGTCAAATAAAGTATTCAGGAAAAAGTGAGAACCTTTGAGGGCCTTTTTCGATAACCCAGGGGAAATGCTGACTTAAACCTTAAGCCAGAGTTCTCCAACCCCACACTTGTCCTGAAAACGACAGGCTTAAGCGAGGCCGCCCTCCCAGTGTGAGAATGCTTCGGAGGGATCCGGCAAGGAGCTCGCCTGGTCTAGCTCCACTTGGATCTGAGAGCCTAGTATGTTGGTTCATAAATGAAATTTCTTTAAATTTTGTTATTTTCTAATAATGTTTTCAAAATCGTATCCGCCAGTGCCAGGCCCTACTTCCGTTACATAATAAATTAAAGAATAATACTTATCTTTAGAGTCGTGATAGCGTTTCGAAAGTAAAAAAAATTTCGTTTACGGAGAAATAGAGTAGGCCTTCTGATCTTCACCCCGCCCTCACAAGATACAGGAGGTCTCTACAAGACAAGTGGTTCTCCACACTGAGTCCCGCGAGTTTAGACCTTAAGTTACCTAGGTATCTATTATTTGAGACTGAGCATATTTAATATACTAAGAACGCATTCACAGGTAGACTTCTAGTCGCGTGATTGTAGCGCTTCCCCATCGCAACTTAAAATAATCGCTCTCAATCTCCCTCCAATCATAGGATTATAATGTGGTTAATATGAAGCGTATCTCAAGGTTAATTACTTAGCAGTGAGCCTAAAAGGGGCAGTGAGCTGATTGGGTAGGACACGTCTGCGCTCTCCCCACCAGGCATCGAACACCCTCCTGATGGCGCGCTGGGCTGTCAGCACGTCTGAATCACTCGACCGACGCCATCTCACCTCTCCGACTGTTTGCCCAGCGTACGGATAGCGAACTAAGTAATACAAATATCATAACTTGTCTTATACCTGGATTATAATTTGTAGAAAAATGGAGCCTATGTCCAGCAATGGGCTGATGATGATATGTTATGAAAATACTTCATCTATCTTTTAACTGACTTAAATAACTTTAAATTTTATATTCTAGGTTGAATTTAAAAAATCATCATCCTTCTCGTCTTCGAGAAGAACTCTGTCTGTTCATCCGTATTCATGTATTCATATCCAAGAACTAATGGGAGAAACTAATTCTGACCACCCGGTTTGTTGTCTGACTGAACTCCAACTATATCCTAATAGTGACTGTATTTTATATGAAGAGCATGGCAGCCGCTAAGGGCCTCACTCTTGCATTTTGCGCAATAACCCAAGTAAAAAAAACTCTACACAGCACAAAACGATAAAGTATCAAAACACCAATATTTGACAAAATAACTAGGTGCACATGAAATTATCAAACGTTATTCAACCGTCGCTGACACAGGTGGCAGAGGCTTGCAATTGTTAGGACCGCTTATGTCTATCTCTATCGCGTAACTGAAGTCCCGATCGGTCTAGAAATGGACAGACCAATTCTGATTGATGTGCCAACAGCTGATCCGTCAACCTGGCAGGTCATTCATGGTTTCGTTTTTGATAGATACGGGGCTTCAAGTACGCGGTACAGTCGCTAAATACCATTTATAGACTTTCTGATTTTCCACCAATGAATAAATGTAAAACTGTTAGTTTCTTTGGTGACATCTTTCATTACATACCCGTGGCTCTGCATTCGTCGTGTACAAAATTGCATTGGTCCGCCAGTCGCTGAGCTAAGCTGGCCAACTCTCGGTCCCACTCCTAATCGATGTTCAAGATTTTTAGTAAAAATTTCAACCCCCAACTTCAAGTAAAACTCAAAAAGATGATCCAAATCTGACGGAACATCCGTCAAGCGTCAGAAGTTGTGTCCTAAAATCCGTCTCTTAAATTATATTTTCAGTTTTCCACAACACGCAGTAGTTTTTATTCTTTGGCTTCAACATTTGAAAGCAGTACTAATTATTTAAATTTTATGTAAGTTACTAATATTTTCAAAAGTAACTAAAATTTTTGTAACTATTCATACCGTTACAGTTTTATTGTGACTGAGTAAAATTATGGACTTAACTATCTATATCTACTACTCAGAACTTCTTTAAAAACCCTTTTCGGTTATTTACTTAAGGCAAGTCTCTCATGAAAAGATCACAAATACTCTATAAGAATTAAGTACGGTCGATGTTAAGTTTTTGTCGTTTACTATCTAAGTATCTATATCTTCACGCCGTATTCCTTGTATGGTCTGGGGTAGGCAGAGAGCACCGAACACCACAAAGCATCCTAGATCTTTCGCCTCACTATCATTTATCTTTTCATACATCACCTTCTAACAGCACGCGACTGATTTGATCATGAATGTCGTGGTCTTCCTCTGCTGGTCCAGTCGATTTTAAGCCTAAATAAGCTGACAATTAAGTTCCAAATTGCTTGCAGAAATTCAGCTACATTTTGATTATAGAATATATTACTTACAACCATCATCATGAGCTCGGGTTTTGGTAGGAGCACTCCGCCGCGCACCCTTTCAGCTCCGGCCGCTATGCGTTGTCTGCGCCTGAAATATTTTCAACTAGCTCTGCCCGTGACATCGCCTGCGAGGATTTTGGTAACGTAATCCCTAGGAATTCCTTATCCTGTGTTTAAGTAGAGTGAGTATACTCTCTATACACCTATACCTTAATTTTTTTAACAAAAATTTAGGATACTACCTGAATAACGAATTTTAATCTATTGTGAATGACATCATACCTTGTCAATACCATTGACTATTGATATTGAATTTTAATGCAGTAAATGTGTAAGTAGGTACTTAGTTATAATATATGTGACGTACGCTAACAAGGTTTAACAACAAAATAACTCTGACGCTATACCTTGTTTATTAATGTACATACTATATTAATGTACTGAAAAAAATTAAGCCGTTGCTTGAAACTGCATAAGAAGTCATTAATATCGAGTTCCAAATGGAGTATTACTGAAATTCTAAGTTTTGAAAAACCTCATAGTATCTTATTAGTGCTTACGTTATTGATTTTATAGAATGAATACGTACATAAGCACCTATATAATCGAAATAAATACCTGTTTATGTAGTGTGTTATGAAGTGTTTTAGACTATCCTGAAATTTTATAGGGGAGTAGTTCGCACATGCTATTCCTGGACCAGGCTGAAATAGGAACAGAACAAAAAAAATGCTAAATTGCCCGTAATAAGATAGAGATGGAACGTGTAATGCGGCGATTACACCTCCCTAAATCTATGGGTCTTGCATGATGTAGGGCACTAGATGATCCTCCCTACATCCCAACGTGGCTTAGTGAACTACATGTAGTGCTGTGTAATCTAATGACAAGTAGAGACGACGCCTATATTATCGCTCAATCTTGCCGGATTGGGGGATTCTCCCAAAATTTTTGGTGTTTTTTGTGGCTCTGGAGAAATCTTTGTGGGAGAGAAACTGAATTTTAAAGGAATTAACATAGATCCCTAGATGTAGGGTGGTTTAATCGTTACTTACTTTCGGTGTAAAGCAACAAGAAATAAATATAGCAAATCTTTTTCCCAAATGACGCGACAATTTGAATTACTCGTTTGCTTACGACTAAGACAAATAAAGGACGTCTTCGTGCCAGATAAGATGCGGAGTTATTTTCAGGCATGTTTTTTTTTGGCTTTGTATGTGAAGTTCATTTTCTGGGAATAGCAAACATTGTAAATCCTTCTTTGATGGATTTATTTACATCAGTAGATACTCACTTGGGGAAACTGACAGCCGACGTGCCACCCCTTGCCCTGGCACAGTCGGCGGTACCGCACCGCACAGTATGGAGAATCATCGTGTAAACCGACCACAAGCGTCAACACTGTGCACACCATCACACAACCCACCCCTATCATCGCCGGACATCTTTAAACAGGATTCCTGATTAGAACTTCATAAACAGACAAGTGTCTAGATAGGTAAGTACTTATTTATTCAACAACGATTTAAAAAGGGACTATAATATACCGATAGGGGTATATCATCTATTTCGTTTGCTCGGCTCAGGTGAAAAAAACCATAAGATAAAAAATGAAAAATTACTGAAAGGTTTTTCCTTATTACCATGCTATCTATTATATATATATATATATGTCTCTTTAACAATTTAATCCGGAAGCTGGAGTCAGATGGCGCCACTATCTAGTTTTAATCCCAGTTCGAAAAAATCGTAGATACTGCAATTTCCCTGATTAATTATCTCATAGCGAAATTTTGTGCTGCATTTGCAAGGTAATGTTTTATCATCATGTACTTTATGCTCTGACCATTCTGAGTCATACGTCAGAATTGGAGAAAAGCAGTAGTTTTACTCCACAATTTTCAGGCCACAAAACTAAAGCGCACCTAGGTCATATAAATAAAGGTCAAACGATGTGATGCTGTCTGATGTAGTGTAGGCGCGGCAATTGCGGTGCCGCAGCGGCGTGGAAACGGAACATCGATGATGCTTGTAGGATCACTGTAGCACCATTATAATTGATGTTTGTGACGCCGCCGCCGCGAAGCTACGGCACCGTAACGATCTCAACTGCGCGATCGTAACGCATCAACTATCGCTACGAATATCATTTTTACTATGGGCTTGAGATAGACTACCAGTTTCTCTTGTTGTCATGATTACCTACATACCCTGATGCCATGCCTGAGCCTGACCTGCCCTGCGATTCTGTAAAACTCCAAACCCGAATTCGAATTCTCTCAGGTGTCCGAATTGACTTCAAAGAGGCATCCACTCAACCTTGAATTGGTAATAACGTTTCGTGGTATAAGTGAAGTGAGTTTCGAAATGATATAGGAATAGAATATCTGAGACACGTGTATTCAATCAATTTTGTTTTGTATTTTTATACAAAAAAATGGAATCAATAGAATTTTTATACTAAATGACGTGAATTCGAATTCGGGTCTGGATTTTTACAGAATCGCAGGGCTGATCTGAGCCAATATACTAAAATTCATCATCTAAATACGGCCGTGAATCGAAACCGTGATTTCTAAAATGATGATACGAAAGACAGTGCAGTCTCAAATGTTTTATAAAAACAGATAATATTAAACGCAACAATTTATTGGTAGGTATTTTATTCCAGGTATTTTAAGTTAACTGAAGAATTTGTACACATCTTTTGCCTTCGGTCGAATATCAACAGCCATTTCTGTTCCTACCAGTTTATCAATCATTGGATAAACAAATTGTCTAGCTAACAAGTATCTCGTATGTATCTTATAGTACCTCAGAACTATATTTAGAGTAAATAATAATAAAACATAAAATAGGGAAACAATCGCTTCTTGGTCAGAGTAGGTTATAAATTATCCGAATTTTCGCAGTAGGTACTTACTTACCATTTACGAAAATAACAACATATGGCATTTGATTTTAGACACAATTGTATACACACAGACACGAATACGACATCAAAATTATATTGGAATACATAACTCATTAAACAATAACAAATAACAAAATAAACAAATTTAGGTATGACACCATGACACTGACATTTAAACCTTGTCCATAATATTGTAATCTTTGTATTGTCCTATATAATTTGCTCTTGGCATGGCCTATAGAGAAGAAGTTGATATCTTTGATTGTAAACCTCTTATTCTTGATGCATGCTTGCCCCAAAGCACTGAGCCAAAGCCTCCATAAATCTAAACCCAAAGCAAATTGTAAGTCTACGAAGACGCGAGGAACCAAAGGGGAACCAATGATCTCAGTAGAACGGGAACTCCAAAGCACACAACGTCAAACAGTAAATGTTTGACGTTGTGAACATTCGATGGAATGGAACCATTTTATTATATCTTTATATAAATGGTATCCATTTCGCTGCATCCGATTTAGTGTGTATGTAACAACGCATTATGATTAGCTAGAATAGTAATTTTCACTAATTAAATTAATTATGTTTACTTGTTATAAACGTCAATATCAACTGTCAATAGACTACATGTCGGATTGGCGACGCCAGTTAATTAATTAATTAAAAAGAAGAAGAAGAAGAAGACGCCAGTCGGCAGCACCTTCGTTGTGCACATCTCCGTTATCTGCCATAGAATATCCTGTACACACTATATTCTATGGCAGATAACTTTCTAATTGTGTAAACAGTAATTTTTATACCCAATAATCTAACTAATCCATAAGCAAACTGTGGTTTTATAGTTGTTAATTGTTAATATAAATATGATGTTAAAGAAGTGCACGGACAAACCTTTCTGGTTTTTGCTGCACTAAGTGATACGAATGATATGTAATTATTATTCATCAATAAATAAAAAAAAAAGGTTACCACTATATATAAAATGAAATCTATTTACAATTAATTAAAGTTTAAAATCAAATGTGTATTTGAGTTTCACATAATCTGATGTTGACTGTATATTATCATGACAATTTTTTTTTTACTTTACTTTCATTCAAGTATGCCACTCCCTCAAGAACGGAACGTAGCAGCGCCTTTGACAATTCCTCTATATCAGTTGCAGCTAATCCTATTAATATTATAAATGTGAAAGTTTCTTTGTTTGGATGTTTGTCGGTCAATCACGCCGAAACTAATGAACGGATTTTGATGAAATTTAGTATACAGATAGGGTATTAGCTGACTTTGATAATAGGATACTTTTTATCCCACTAAACATTTCCCTAGGGTCCACGCGGGCGAAGCCGCTGGCAAAAGCTAGTACGTCTATAAATCAGCATGCGTAGCATTTTTTTTTTTTTTTTTTTTTTTTTTTTTTTTTTTTTTTTTTTTTTTTTCTTTTTTTTTTTTTTCGGGTAGTTTGGTGAAGAAAGTTAGAAAATAAAACACTCCCAGTTAAAAAGAGATAAAAATTTAATTAATAACAATTACTTCCTTTTTATGATTAAAATATAATAAAGGCACTGTAACTCACCCGCTTGAGTGTTATCTCCTTATTACTGGCAATAGTTTGGAAGAACTGAGATGGAACAGGTTAAGCACACTTTGACACACTTGACAGAAGTGTTTCAAACCCGGATGGCAGATTTTGAGGCTGAACTGCAGAAGGCTCCAACTGGAGCTATATCCAGTACTGCTGACCTGGCCTCTGAGTTTGTCTCGTTCAAAGCCTTCATATTGGGCACTTTGAATGGGCTTCAGTCTCAGATCCAATTACTAACAAAGTCTGTGGACAGATTGGATATGTATGGTCGCAGGAAGATGTTGCTACTTCATGGTATCCAGGAACAGGAAAGCGAAGATCCCTCCCAATTAGCAACTAAAATGGTGACAGAGAGGTTAAAGATAAATAACTTTACACAACAGGATATCAAGCGGTGCCATCGATTGGGACGTTTGACTAACACTGGTGACAAACCTCGTCCCATCGTTGTAAAGTTCCAGCAAGAAGACATGCGTGACAAGGTCTGGTTTGGCAAGTCGAAGCTCAAGGGCACTGGCATTACCTTGTCAGAATTTTTAACTCAGTCGAGGCATAATGCATTCATGGCGGCACGAGATAAGTTTGGCGTTAACAGGTGTTGGACGCAGGGAGGCATCATACATGTACTCGGTCCCAACAACACACGGTATCGTTTCACTACTGTTATGGAACTTCAATCACTTCAACTTGAACCAGCTAAACCGGCTGCTGCTGCTGTTTCAAAGGTTGCACCAAAAACAAGAAGGATAGCAGGTGTCAAGAAGTGATGGTTATCGTGTTGTTCGTGAGTTATATTCATGTCATGTCTCATTCTATTATTTTTCTTTCGTTTTGCGTCTACACAAAGCAAGCTAGTTTCATTCTTTTAATGTTATAAATTTTAATGTGTCTACCTACAATTAGCACAACAAATTCTACCTGTTATTAATTAACTTTTCGAATAAGCACGCATCGAAAGAAAACGCCACTTACTTATTTATTTTACTGTATGTCAAACTGTCAATGTTATGCTGTTTATGTCGAGCTGTCAATGTCGTTAAAACTTATATTTTTGTTTCTGTAAGCGAAGAAATCAATGTCCATACAGCCATATATATATATATATATATATTTTAATTTTTTTTTTTTTTATATTTGTTCAAAATAGAATCTTTATTTTCTTTTAATTGTATTTTGCCAACAAATTACATTTGTTTTTTCTATCTCTGTACCAAAATTTCTGTAGAAATTACTTTCAACTATTTTATTAGAGTAATGACACGAGCGGGTGGTTATGGTGTTTTAACAAGAGGTTTATACCTGTTTGCTATTGATATTAGTGTTACAATATTATTTATTTATATATTTTAAACATATACGTGTTACATTTGTTGTTCTCTCGTAATGTCGTCAGCTGATGACAACACTGACTCAAACAGTTTTTTGTCTGTAAGTGATAGTGATAATGATAGTTTTGTGAGCTTACCTGCGCTGACTGAATCTCTTTCCTCTTGCTTCTCCGACGTTCCGAAAAATTTCAACGTTGTCCATATAAATGCTCAAAGCATTCCGGCTCATTTTTCAGATATGCTGACAACTTTTGATTGTAGAAACATTCACGCTATCCTTGTTTCTGAATCATGGCTTAAGCCGTGTCTCCCCTCAACTTCTTATACGCTACCAGGTTTTAACCTCATAAGAAATGATCGTGCTGTTGGCGGTGGCGGTGGCGTTGCTATATATCTCCGTGCCAACATTCGTTTTTCTGTGGTAGATGTGTCACCTCAGCCACCACCAGCAAATGCTGGCGAACATCTTTTCTTGGAGGTTGAGCTAAGACATTCAAGAATTCTTCTTGGCGTTTATTATTGCCCCTCATTGCGAATTAACTACTTTTCTTCCCTAGAAAGCAAACTAGAGCTGCTTTGTCCTTCCTACAGTCACACCATTATAATGGGTG